TGTGGAACAAATTATTTGAAAAACTCACCCTAGCGACAAATGTATGAGCACGTTTACGAGCTGGTGGTGAAGCATTTGGCTGATCCTCGTCAATCTTCAAGTCTCCAACACCTTTACCCTCAGCTTCAAGACGTTTCTTTTCAGCTGCACACTTTGCTTTCCATATATCGTATGACATTACAGTCATTGCACCAAGTGACATACTACGTCCCTCAAGACCAGTACGTGATGAAGAACTCTGAAATCCATCGACAATTATTTTGCACAAAAAAATCTCCATCTACGGGAAAAGTGCATTCTGAGAAGCACACAAATGCACGTAAACACACACATAGCGTGTGCCCACGTGTTTTGTTTATGCAAATATGTTCGGTGGACGACGTGAGAATTGGTGTTTTCGTGGATTTCTCCCCGCGTGCAAAAGATGTAAAGAAATTTTCCGAGATAAACAAGGTTTATTGAATTGTTCCTTCCCCTCCAGTTCTCTGTTTCCCTTATCTCTGATGTTGACAAAGTGCGAAGATAATATTTAAGAAAGAAAAACTGCACCCATCCTTCCTCTTCCCCCCGCACTTCTCCACCTCTCCTTCCGTTCCCTATCCACCTAGACAATGGGTGCGACACTACGATTTTCTAGCGTTTTGTGTTCCTGAACTTTTGCAAGAAGGGGCGAAAGATTTTTGATCACGTTCTCTAGTGAGAATACAGAAAGTGCACATGAAAGAGATTCGAGAGAAGCAAACACGTACAAAAACTCCGGAAAGCACGCGATCTCCTGAGCGGCGGCGGTGCGCTGCCGCCATCGCCGCGACTCTCTCTCTTCTCTTCTCGATGTCGTCGTCAATTCTTTAGACATCTGCACTATAAACATCGTGTTTGCGTGGCGGGCACTTGGTAGAGCGAACCTTGCCGTTCAGCACGTGCACCATTCCAGCACGAAGTCGATGGGGGATATTCGGAACAGAAGGGGAAGGGATAGGACGAGTGTGGGGAGATGTGGGAGGGAAAGATATGCAGAAGAAGAGATGCTTTCGATGCAACAATTAATTTTGATCCCTAGATGGCAGGATAAACAT